GACTTTTTTTCAATTTTTCACCCTAAATGCAGTTCGAATTTTTTGCAGATTTGTATACTACAAATATTTGACTTTTAATAATTTGAACGGAAATGTTCCTCGTTTAAATGATTCGGTATCTCTGAAAAGAACTGGAGATTTGAGCAGTGCACTGTTGTTCTTTCTTGGTTCTTTTTACGTTGCTAAAGTGGAAGTGGGAAATTTCAGAAATTTTTATTGGTCGACGTAATCCAAAAATAGTAAGTAAGTAAGTAAATTATTCCGAAATATACTGTTGCAGGAAAGTGGGTGTATATAAGTATATGTATGGTAATTGTATTACTGTTTCTCTTTTTGAACATTTGTAAAATTTATTTTTTATAAGTATGAATGTTAATCCCATTAATGTTATAAACATTTTAATGAAAATATTTAACTCAAATAAGCAGGAAGCACACATAAATCGAAACAAAGTTAAACTGGCACAAAGCATAACAGATGCAATTAGTAAACTTAATAAATAAACTTATACGTTCGGTTAAAAATTTCATTAGATTAGGCCGATAGAAACATAGGTTTACAATTACCATACATATACTTATATACACCCACTTTCCTGCAACAGTATATTTCGGAATAATTTACTTACTTACTTACTATTTTTGGATTACGTCGACCAATAAAAATTTCTGAAATTTCCCACTTCCACTTTAGCAACGTAAAAAGAACCAAGAAAGAACAACAGTGCACTGCTCAAATCTCCAGTTCTTTTCAGAGATACCGAATCATTTAAACGAGGAACATTTCCGTTCAAATTATTAAAAGTCAAATATTTGTAGTATACAAATCTGCAAAAAATTCGAACTGCATTTAGGGTGAAAAATTGAAAAAAAGTCCACTTTTTTAATATATTATTTAAATAAATAATTTCTCCCGAAATTTTTGTCACTAACTAAATTCCTGACTAAAAACTACACAATGTAAAAAAATTCACCTTCCTACACCCTCTAGTTTCCGAAATAATAAAGAAAATGTGTTTTCAACCCCGAACTTTGAGGGCTATTTTCACCCCCTCAACATGCATGTCCGCAGATATAAAAAAATACGTGTCAAATGATTTTTGCAAAGCTACCACATGTGTAAATTTCGTTAAAATCCGCGTGTAACACCTTGGTGATGTCCATTGTCAGTTGATTTCCAGGCCCGCAATACCGGCGAGTTTGTTTTTTTCCGAAAATGCAAAGTGGGGATGCATTCCCAATAAAACCTTCGGGGAAAGCCTGAGGAAGACGCATTTTGTTGACGACTTTCTAGAAAACGTGAAGAGAGAAATCGAACGTTAATAATTTTTGTTAAACTGTTATGTGTAAAATATGACCATCCTTACAAATATTTACGAGTTAAATCAATTAAATATCCGTGTTTCGGTAACATCAAATTTTACATTTTTCAGATTTTTTTGTAATATGACGCAATGGCATAAAACTCATACGATCATTTTATCATTTATGGATTCCCTAAATACAAAATTAAATAAATTAATTAATTTAAATTAATCCTACAAATAAGATTATACTGAGATTAAAAAATGTTTGTAACCGACTGTAGTTTTAAAATTTTCGCAAGAATTTAATTTGCAGAGCACGAAACGTGTTGGTAAGTTGCAGTAGAGATGAAACAAGTTCTCTGTTGAATATATACATTGCACAATAATGTTAGTTATGTTTATCTGCAATGTTACACTGCCTGCAAACAAAAGCCTTCCGATTTATGCTGACCTACATTTGTTATGGTTGTACATTATGTTCATACAAGGTGTGTCACTTTTTAATCACCAAACTTTACCAACATATTTCATACACAAAAGTAAGAAAAAGTTGTTATATTAATATAGCTTTTTAAATATTTCATTAAAGTCATAACAAAAATACAAAATGTCTTCGAACAGTTTTGTTTTTCAATATTACATACGGTGTGTCACAGTAGTAAAACTTTGTATTTGTTATAACTCTTGTATATTTGTTATAATTCTTGAACAAAATGTTTGAAATTGCGTGTTCATATAACATTCTTCCTTTATTTTTATAAATAGCACATGTTAATCAAGTTTACTGGTAAAAAATTAGTACACTCTGTATATAAGCCATGGAACATAAAACTACATGTAACCATACTCTATCGTTGTAGCTGAACGTGTTTTGCAGTAGGAAATAAGCATAATAGGAATACCGAGGTTAGTGTCATAAGCGCATAAAGGTTTTAATTAGTATGTAAAAATGAATAAGATAACAAATACCGTTAAAATAAAAATAACTTATTTTTTCATATATGAAGACATTTAATTGTTGCTATTACAGTAATAAATGCTAATAGTCTTAGCACAAATATGTACTTCTTAAAAGCAATATTTAAATTATAATGTTAAAATCATTATTAATGATTTAAATTAAGGTAATCGTTTTCTCAAGTGAGTGCGCGAGTTAGTTATAATACAGGTGTCCCGTAACTATAAGCCATGGAACATAAAACTACATGTAACCATACTCTATCGTTGTAGCTGAACGTGTTTTGCAGTAGGAAATAAGCATAATAGGAATACCGAGGTTAGTGTCATAAGCGCATAAAGGTTTTAATTAGTATGTAAAAATGAATAAGATAACAAATACCGTTAAAATAAAAATAACTTATTTTTTCATATATGAAGACATTTAATTGTTGCTATTACAGTAATAAATGCTAATAGTCTTAGCACAAATATGTACTTCTTAAAAGCAATATTTAAATTATAATGTTAAAATCATTATTAATGATTTAAATTAAGGTAATCGTTTTCTCAAGTGAGTGCGCGAGTTAGTTATAATACAGGGTGTCCCGTAACTAGTGTTACTCCCTGAAAGGGGTAGTAGAGGACGTCATTCTGAACAAGATTTTCCTTTGCAAAAATGGGGTTTGAAGCTTCGTTTTTGAATTATTAAGCAAAACCACGGACCAATCAGAGCGCGAGGATTTCGCGCGCTCAGCTGCTAGGTTCGAAGCTGTCGCTCCCGCTTCTCGGCACGTATAATCTCCACGCTCCGATTGGTCCATGTTTCTGCTTAATAATTCAGAAATGAAGCTTCAAATCTTATTTTTTCAAATAGAAATCTTATTCAAATTACATCACATAAAAATGTATAAAAGTTTTAAAATAATTTTCATTATTGATGATAAACGATGCAATATTTCTAATAAAAATAATTTACATACTCATGTAAGGGAAACCAAGGCGAAGTGAAACACATTTAATTTAACAAAGCATAACAATTACAAAATAAACAAACGTGATTTTGTAACATGTTTATTTAGCTTTTAACTATACTATATAAACACTATGGCACTTTAGGAGTTTGATAAAATATTTTTTCAAAAAATAATTAATAACTGTTTCGTGGAACCCAAACAGAGAACAAAGTAAAAAACAAATAAATGTGAGAACATGGAATATTTTTATTGGATATGAATTTATAAGAAGTACGTATTATTTGTTTGCAAGAAATTAAAAAATGAAAGAATTTACAAAACTTAAAAATATTGAAAATAACACATGACATCGTATACATATAATTGTGGCTTGTTATGTTATTTGTATATTTCTAATAAATAATATTGTATGTATTTCTAGCTATTAAGGGAAATTTTAGTAAAACTTAAACGTTAAACTAAGAAAAGTTGACTTCTTTCTGTCGTAACTACATGAAATTCGCAAGAATTTTACTTTGGACTTTCCACTTAAATCCGAAAATCTACAAACTCGAAAATATTGAATTTTGGAATTTCGGAAAATTATAGTTCTAGATTTTTGGACAACTAAAAATTTGGGCATTTAGATTTTTATAATTTGATAATTTAATAATTTGGTAGCTTGGTAATTTGGAAATCTGGAATTTAGAGATGTGAAAATTTAAAAACTTAACAATTAGAAAAATTGAGCAATTTCCAAGTTTGCGAATTCGCTAAGTTGGAAATTTAGGACTATACACATTTGAGAATTTGAGAAATTAGTAATTTTGAAATACGCAAATTGAGAATTTGAAAAATTGATAATTTAACAATTCAGGAATATATAAATTTACCAATTTGGAAATTCAAATATTTTTAGACCTGATCATTTTTAATCTTTAAACTTATAATTTCTAAAATGTAGAAATTGTAGAATAAAAAAATATACTGATCGAATTGAGTAACCTCCTCCTTTTTCGAAGTCGGTTAAAAAAAATATTTGTGTTAACGCTCGTGATTGAAATAAGTTCTTTCGAGCTTTGGTGAATATTGCACGTGGTGCGCCGACTAAATTTGTGTTTATTACAGTCTGTAACTATTTCCTTATTCGAAGGACCACTCCAAACTTGGAGACTATACAAACTAATGCAAGTTGTTACTATTACGAATGTCAAGAGACGAATGACATTTTTCTTATGAACATGAAAGTGCGTTACATGCGTACAGTTTTTACAGGGTGAGGGTGAGGGAAAAATTCTTAATTTCTAATGGGGTGGAAATGGAAGCTTGTGACGTATGACGAACATGGGGTTTTCCCAAAAAAATGACCATAGCAAGTAATAAAACCAAGCAGTACCTCGACATGAATAGTAACTGGAAATAACGGACTCTACTGTTAAGCTTAAGGTTCTGGCAATTAGATGTAAGGCAATAAACTAAAATAGTCGACACAATGTAATGACTCCTTGGGTGTTATTGCTGCTATAGGTAAAGAAATTAACCGAAGGTCTGACCCTTCGCTATGGAACTAAATTCTAAAATTTAATAGCGGGTCTTACCAATTTGTCTAATTATTAAGTATGAAATTTCATGCACAACAAAGTCTCAGATATGAAATATTTCATAGAATTTTCCAGTTACATAAATGTTACATAAAACTACTTAAAAATATGTAGAAAAGAATGTTTCATTTTCCCCTGGTTTCCCTTATTAAATTTTCTCATACTCTTAATATTACAACAATAATGTATCTAATTTCTTACCTTGAATTTGCGTCCAAGAACTCGATACTTCGGAAATTAAAGCAGGCAGTCTGGACGATGGCCCGTACATAACTTGGTTACTGTTGTTTTCCACATCTTAATCACACAACAATTATTACATTAATTAAATATACTTAAATTATTGCATCAAATAATATCATATATAAATTAATTTTATTAAGTGTTTTATTTCTAAACATGTTAATAGTAAATTAACATCTACTTCGAATTCAATAATTTCGAAAATTCAAAATGATATATATATATATATGTACAATAAAATACATTTTCAAATCTTGGCGTAGAGCAATCTTAAATTCCGCATTTGAATTATTTTAATTTTCAAATTCTCAGATCCAAAAATTTACAAATTGTGAAGTTTTTAAATTTAGGATTTATAAATTTTTAAAATCAGAATTTGCAAATTTAGAAATTTCAAAACATGAAAAGTTCACATTTTTAAATTTAAAAATTTCCAAAATCACAAATTTATAAATCTTCGAGCGTTGTATAGAAGATTCTCTTTCTGTATGTATAATCGGTGTTTTGCATAATGTAACACTTAATGGCATCGAAAATAACTCTAAACTCTAAATTCTAAAGACCGTTTTGACTATATTTTATTAAAAAAAAAAAGAAAATATTAAAAAGGTCAACAGATTTACATTCTTGTATGATTTGATATTATTAGCTCCGTAGAGGACGTTTACAAGTGAATTAAGGTAAGTGGGTAAATAAGAAGATACGGCACACAATAGTCTACAGTGTTAACGAATAACATCTCGCTGAAGATTAAATAATAAAACTATAATTATACCAAGGCATAAAGACAGGAAGTCAAACAAATTTTTATTCAATATCAGATGCAGGAGTGATATAAATTTAAGAAAATAATATAATACTGAAACGAATACTATTTATGTCCGTAGGGATATTTAGATTAAGTAATGAAACTATTCGAACACCTTTTAGTATAACTTTCTTGTAATTGGTACAAATACATGAACAGTCACAAGAATTAATAGTGGGAATAGGGTAGTGTTGGGATTCAATCTTAGTATTTTAAGACCGTATTTTTATTTTGTTTAAAATGTACTTGAAAATGACCGTTACCGTAGCAGCGGTTTACTGTGGGCCAATTTGTACCTTCGAAATTTTTATATATTTTTATACTTTTATTAAGGCCCAACATAATTTATGGTTATTACTGTCCAACCGTTAGGTGACGAGCGACGGTGTAGTCGATTTTCTTTAGGTCAACTTTGACCTGAACTCGAACATTTTGTTAGGGCGGTTCTTACCCCTTCTCGGAACATTTTTTCGACCAATCTAATGGTTAATTTTGACAAGTCGCTCGTCTACCCCCAAATACATGCCAATCCCACTCCATATTTTTAGTTTTGGTGGAAAATACTCATGCTAGACAAGAGAGATTCTCTCGCCAGCTCTTAACGAGTAAACACCCCTAAAAGTCCTGTTAGGATTAGCTTCGGGAAAATAAACTGCAGTGCTGAGGTGAACGGAAAATACTTTAATAATATGAAAATGTCTTTACAAAAATGCGCGGTGCTTCGTTGACGAAGGTATAACTGTAACTGTTAGACAAAGCATCGTGATGCGTGTTCGGACGCGCATAGCGCAGTTCATTTGTTTTGTCCGTTACTTCCAACAAGTCCATTACCACCTCGGGGAATTTTTTCTAAGTACAAAATAAAGTTTATCTTATACCTTCTACAACGGTTGTTGGTTCATATTATCGGAGTAGTAGTCACTGACACAATTCCTAACCAGCTTGCGTATGCATTAAGTTGACGCGCAGCATAACAGGTAGGAAAAATGTGCTTTTACTTTTTGGTTTGCTAATTGCAATTTTCTTAATACAACACTTGCGTAAAATCTAAAAATTCCTGTAGCTGCTAAAATAAAGTTGAGATCATTTACTTAATACAACAATAGAAATGTTTATATCGTTTTAAAAGGTGTTCCAATATTTTCGTTACTCACTTTACTTTTACGATTTACAATAAATACTTTACATCCATTTTTGTTGGGTTACACCCTAACTCTCAAACCAACTTAGATATACTGTACCCCGATTACTGTTGATACAAAAAGTATAATAGTTGAATAGTTGCACCGCGTAATTCCTTATGGAAAGTACGAAAAATGTATATATCAGAGTTTTTTGAATCTCAGCTCATAATCAGTTTTTTATTTACTGTGTTTCTGAGAAAATAGGGTTATTAATTCATTTATAATATTCAAATTTGTGATTAGAATCGTTCCGGTTATTTGTACATGAAATGATGTATTGTTACGTAAAAATATTTTTGTTAGAAATTTTTTTACCAATTTTCCGTTTTCATTCTTGTACAATTTTTTACTTTTGAAATTCATTCCTTTTCGGTATAAATTTAAATACTTACATTACACTAATTAGTAAATATACTAAGCGATTATAATAATTATTGTCCAATACGCATGTATAGCTTTTTAATTTTTATTTTAACTTTTTCCTCCATATAATTGTTATATTGGCAGACTAGAATGTTTTACTATGCAATTAATACATTTACTTGTATTAACGACTCTAATGCTTTTATGTAAATAATGAATACGTATATGGTTTTGTATTACAATTCTGATGTATGTATAATAATTTTAAAAGGCATCTTTGTTCCAAATGTCTTAATACTCACAGCATCAAAAGTTGACCTGTTCACAAAACCTAATCTATATTTCGAATTTATTTCTCTCATCTCTTTCATTAATTATTTGATGAAATTGGTGCAGTATGTACTAAAAATGTATTTGTAAATGTTAATGTTGAAAATGTTATGTAAAGATTAACACAAATTAATAATTGAATAGAAACATATTTAAAATTACGCAGATCCATCGAAAATAGGTATTAAATACCCAAAATGATCAATTTTCTTTTCGAATGGCATTAATAAATACCTACGTGTATTTTTATATTTCATGTTTTGAATGTAAAGAATTTTACTATCAAAAAATGGGCGTAACAAATTTTTATCGGTGGAATTCAATAACCTACGAAGGAATGAGGAAATCCGCTTACAATAAATCTATTTTTGATTTAGTGGCATTGAGAAATATAACATAATATATCTTGTAGTTTTTAATCATAAATATTGTACTTTTAAAAATAAAACTATTTGTTTTTCTAATGGTATAGAAAACAAAATGGTATTAAACGCTTTAAAAATGTGAAAATGTTTTGACGAATCATTCATATGTCGTATAATGAGGATAAAAATAGAAATAAATAATAGAGTTTTGCAGTTGTGCAAGAATTTTGAAATGAAAAGGTAAACACCGGAACAATTAAACTTTTTATAGCGTTAACTTGATAAGGATTTCAGAAATTTTACATGCGTTTACATCGCTCAATAGAACATAACGTTGCCTTATCGCAGCGGACCTTTAAACTTAATTTTCTCGAAAACTATGCTGCAAATAAAACAATTCAATTTTACATTTTTCTTTTCTTTTTCCGTTAGGAAGTACGCTGAGTCCGTTCTTACATATTATTTGGTCGACTCTGTATTTGTATTAGTAGTCTAATTGTAAGTATAGTTTCACTATAATAACTTTTACTATTATGGTATTGTTACACTTTTCTTTTATATATATATATATATATAGTTTATTGAGAATAATACAATGGTAATTATAATTAATCAGGTATAGATGTACGGATAACACGCGTCTCGATTTGTCGGTGGCTGCGTCACGACTGTTCGCGGAAGGCTCCCGCCGGGCCTCTCGGTTTCCGAATTTGCGCGACAGGCGCGCGCGAATTTTAATTGTAACAACTCGGCCCTTCCTGACATTTGAGGCGCCCTCGCCGATAGTACAATTATCGTTTAGCAGTTGGCTCATAATCTAATTTACACGTTTTGAACCTAACATTAACATATAGATATATACCTTTTCTTACATTCTATTACCAATTGGCTTAATTCTATCGACTGCCACTATAGCTTTATATAGCCTACTGCTCTGCTGTTCCCCTTCGATGTCTTGTACGAGATACCTGTCATTACCTATCGATTTAACAATCTCATATGGTCCCTTATATTTGATTTCTAGTTTTCTGCTTTGACCTGTGCTCGGTGCATCGTGTCGAATCATAACTAAATCTCCAATTTTATACAATATAGGTTTCTTACGCCGTGCATCATAATATTGTTTTTGTTTCTCGCGATTTTTCGCTAACAAATTAGAAACTGGTTCTCTTTCATCAGGCGCATCTAAGCTCTCATTCAATTCAATAATTTCGCGTTCTAATGGATTTGAACGAACACCTATCCCCTTTTTATGAAATACAATCTCATATGGAGTACGCTTGGTAACGTGATGTATAGTGTTATTTATCGACCATTGTGTTTGTGCAACATAACTATCCCAATCACTGCCTTCTTCGTTACATACAGTAGACATACAACTTAAAATTAGCCTATTTAATCTTTCAATTTGCCCATTGGCTCGCGGCGTTGCGGTGGCGGTTTTAACATGTTCGATATGGTATTTTGCACACAGTGTTTCGAAATCATTCGCTGTAAACGCCGTTCCCCTATCTGTGATAATGCGTTTCGGTTTTCCGTAGTGAGATATGAATTCATGAACGAAAATAATTGCTTCTTCACTCTCACATCGCCAGTCTTCTTTCGCACCAACAGTACAGGACTTGAGAACGGGGAATCACTGTCCTCTATGATGTCCGCTTGTTTCAGTTCCGCAACGATGTCGTTTATTTGCCGTCGCTCGTACTGCGACACCCTATATGGACGGTGGGCTATAGGAGTTGCGTCCATCAGTGAAATCTTCATCTCCGCCATATTTGTATGACCGACCTGCCGGATATTTCTTGCAATTAGATCTTTGAAATCATTCAATATACTCACGACGTGCTCGGCTTCTTCTTTGGGTAAATCCGTGTTGACTTCATCCAATTTTATGGGTTCCACGTTCACCTCTCTGTCCGCTGGTTCGTGGCCTTCTTCTACCACTTCTCCACGTGAAAGTGCCGTCCCTTCCTTTATGTGTAGATCGGCTCCCGAAATA